ATTACCTTTAATTTCTCCAAGTGGGCAAAGGCAGATGGGTTGATCTTGTCTATTTGATTGTTGCCAAGCAGCAAAATGGTGAGACTTGTGAGTCCAGCAAACATAGAACTGGAGACAAGGCACAGCTGGTTCACAGTAAGGTTCAAGAGCTCCAAGTGACCTGTGTGTGAAAAAGTACCCTCTTCATTGTGATCTATTTGGTTCTGAGAAACATTCAGAAAGTGTAGATGAATCAGACTTCTGAAGCTATTCTTCCCCAGACTTGCAATATTGTTCTCGGACAAATAAAAAAAAAAAGTTTGCTTGGCAGATGAGCTGAGACTTCGTTCAAATTCCTTTGGAAGCACATGACTTTTGTTCTGTTCCTCATGATTCCACAGACCTCATAGTTCTCCAAATAGTAAGGGGTCACATTTTGGTCTAGGCTGACTAAAAGAAGCAATATTGATACAAGCCTCAGAAAAGACATTCTCTTATCAATGTTTAATTGCTCTGTGAGAATTTGAAAACAAAATACGTTCATGAGACCATGGTGAATTCTCTATATGAAACTGAATAACAAGCACAATGAGAAGAAAAATTTCAAAAGAGGAACTTTTTAATCATGATTCTGTATTTCAAAGAAGTGAAACTACAAATACTGTACACAGAACCACTGCTTCTGTGCAGCCTCTGCAAAGTTTCGCATAGCTATTTACAATAAACAGAGTCAGCAGGTCTTTGAAAAAGTCCAATGCACCTGTTTACAACCTTACTATCTCCTCAATGTCTACCAGCCCAACTGGCAGGCAGTTGTAGTTTTTCAGCTAAACTGGGCCATTTTCTTGCTTCCCTAGCAACAGCAGTGTGACATGTAAATAACAATGATGCAGAGAACATATTTGGCAGAGCTTAATTGAAATCTCTCTTCAAAGCCTATATTTTTTGTGAAGTCTGGAACAACTTCCTGATTCCACTTCTCTCCTGAAACTTAGGCTGAAATGAAGACATGCACATACAACTGATACAATCTATTTTGCTTTGACTTACTCACACACACTGAGGGCACCACTTGTGCATGCATGCACAAAAGAAAAAAAACTCCTGTTTACCAGAGTCTGGTGAAGCTGATAATGGCAGAGGGTGAATTAAAACTACACTGTGTGTTGGCATCATTTAAAAATAAATAAATAAGGAAATGCACCTCTCCACAAATAACATTAGAATGTGTTAATTTATATGTATGGAGTACAAGTAGTTCTAATGTTTTTATTCAGGAATGAAATCTTACTTTCTGCTCCTAAGGAGGCTAGGAGAGTTTTAACATTTAAGGTTTGCTTTGTAAGGCAACAGGGAACAACACAGAAATATATTTTGTTCTGTCAGTATGAAGAAACTAAAAGCTGCTACTCTTACTTGATAATACAGTCAACCCTCTGTATCCACAGTTTCCTTATCCACAGATTCAAGTATTCATGGCTTGAAAATATTCAAAAAATATATAAATTCTGAAAAGCAAACCATAATTTTGGCATTTTATATAAGGGACACCATTTTACTATCCATTGTATTTAATGGGACTTGAACATCCATAGAGTTTGGTATCCACAGGGGTCCTGGAACCAAACCCCAGTGGATACCAAGGGCCCACTGCAATCATATGGGTGGCACAATCCAGCAACATACTGTAAGTTGCAGAAAACATACTCTTTTATTCATAAAACCAGGTACATGGTTGCCCTTACTTTCAGTAAAACAGTAGAAGTTACATAAGAAAACAATTTCTATACCAGAAGAGAGTGTGTTTTGTTTTCTATTTGTGTCTGCCATGATTCTACTGCTTATTATGAGGAACTAATAGTTTATTGTTAGCATCTGTACAATTGGTTTATACATTCAATAGATTTTTGATGCTGTCATAAATGTGTGGTGAATATCTATGAGTATTTGTTCACAGCTTCATCTGAGTCCAATGTGGACCTTACATGTAACTGTGTATAGGATTGCAACCAAAGTGAACTTTTATGTAGAGAGGATGGTTCTTGTTGCTGCTGCTGCTGTGTGCCTTCAAGTTGTTTCCAACTTATAGTGACCCTAAGTAAACCTATCACAGGGTTTTCTTGGCATATTTCTTTAGAGAGGTTTTCACATTGCCATGTGTTGAGAGAGTGTTACAAGGTCACCCAGAGGTTTTCCATAGCAAGAAACGATAACCTGTTTCATACCTTCCAACATTTCACATGTGAAAACTGGGATGTATGTGGCATAGCAACATCTGAGTGTGGTCAAGATGACAAATGTTATGAATGTGTAAGAACATACAAGCTAGGAGAGGTTGCAGCACTTTGCTTTTGCCTGAATCTACTGGGAAGGGCAAGATTCTGCCCACTCTAATTTCTCCTCACTGAATAGATGGAGTGCAAACTACATTGGCACTTTGAAGTAAACTGAAGACAAAGTGGGATGAGAGAGGCTTGATCAGAACTGTCCTTGTCAAATTGGGACAGTTGGAGTATATGCTGTATGTTCAGCAGGAATGCCTTCTCTTGGCTCGAATGTTTTAAGTTGCATCAGCACAGGTGGAATGTTGTCTGTAGAAACTGTGTTCTAACAGGTTCAGCAAGTTTTCCTCTTTATAGTGCTTCCTTTGCAAGTCCTTCATTCCTGGCAGCTCAGCCAATGAGGGAAAACAGAGATCAGATATGGTAAAGTGAGACAAACTCCAAGCAGCTGGCCTCCTTAGCAAATTTGGTACAAAACACTAGTGGTTGAACAGTGAATGTCTAACAAGTGGATCAGGATGAACAGGATTCCCTAGAAGATATCAGAAAGGAGGAGCACGGCTAAGGTAAGCACCTATTTGCGCTTGTGTTTTCAAAGTTTCATCTGTAAACAAAATGTTCAACATTTGTTGTGGCACATACTGGTGATAAAGGAGATTTAGGGCCTTTGCAGACTGCCAGAAATAGTGCACATTAAATTGAGGCACTGCCCTGGCTCAGTGCTAGGGAATCATGGGAACTGTAATTTATTGTGGCACCAGAGCTCTCTGACAGAGAAGGCTCAATGTCTCAGAAAAAAATACAATTCCCATGATTCCCTAGCACTGAGCCAGGGCAGTGCCTCAATCTAATGTGCACTATTTCTGGCAGTCTGCAAAGGCCCATAGAAAGATGGATAGTGGCATAAATTCCAGGGATGGGTGGAGGTGGAATGACTAACCCCAGAACTAAGTTTAAGAAAGTGGAGTGCTATCTTAGTTTTCTCTTTAAAATAGAAAAAAGGCATCCTTCTCATAGCTTGTGTGTGCCTCAAGCTCATTTCAGACTGTGTGGAATATGTCAATAAAAATGGCATATTGCTCAGATATAATGGCTGGAGGAAGAGACCTTTGGTGAAAAAAGCATGTACTTTTTGGAATGTAGCTCATCCAGGCAGCATCAGATTCTAGGAGTTGTAGTCTAAAAGATAATGTATCCAAGCTCTGAGAGAGCCAGCATGGTATAGTGGTTTGAACAAGGGCGACATCTACACTGCAGAAACAATCCAGTCTGACACCACTTTAACTGCCATGGCTCAATGTTATGGAATTCTGGGAGTTGTCTATTTGGCACAACAAGCTACACTTCCCACAATTCCATAGCATTGAGACATGGCAATTAAAGTGGTGTCAAACTGGATTATTTCTCCACTGCAGATGAAGCCTATGATTCTGGAGACCATGGAAACTGATGGGGTGACCTGGGGCAAGTCACATTCTCTCTGCCTCAGAGAAAGGCAAATGCAAACCCTCTCTGAACAAATATTGCCAAGAAATTCCATGACAGGGTCACCTTAGGATCTCCATAAGTCAGAAATGACTTGAAGGCATGTAGCAGCAACAGTCAAGTTCTGGCAATTTTATTAGGGGCAGGGAGACATGCTTCATGTAGTCATGAGTGAAGAGCTTCCAAAATACTGCCCACTCACATTTCTAGAAACATGGTCAAAGAACAGAAGCATTCCTTCTAAAATGGTGAGCTTTTGCAAGTGGAGGGGAGAATAGCCTTTCTGGTATACATAACATTTTGTTTTTTTTAACTGATAGCATAAACATTCACCATGTTAAGTAACAAGGTGAAGAAGCCTCCAGCCTCCAAAGACAGTTTCGACACTCTCCAACATTGCCATAAAAATGGAAAATGGAAATGGCATGAGGATGGCAGAGTAGTTCTGTCAATTGTTTATGATGATGTTGCCATAGCAGTAAGCCCAATTCCAACAGTGTTCAGTCATCTGCCACAATCCCATTCTATTTACCAGTCACTTTCACAATTAATGGGGAGGGGAGAAAATGTGATTTTTTGCAAAAGAAAAAGTAGTGTGACTTCGCAACAGAAACACAACAAACAAAATAAAGAAATTCTTTAAAATCTCTACAACAGGCAAGATTAAAGTGGGGGAGTATTTTCATGTGCAAGATAAGCAATAAATTGTGGCTCAGAGAATGGCCTGATAGTCTGCCTGACCACTTGTGAACACTGTAGAGTAAGAACAGTGTGTGTGTGTGCCTTCAAATTGCCTGTTAACTTATGGTGACCTCACTAATTTAATGTCTGAGCAAGTGTGGCATAGTGGTTTGAGTGTTGGACTATGACTCTGGAGGCCAGGGTTTGATTCCCTGCTCAGCCATGAAACCCACTGCATGATCTTAAGCATCTCATATGTTCTCAGCCTCAGGGGAAGGCAATGGCAAACCTCCTCTGAATAAATCTTGACAAGAAAACCCCATGATAGGGCCTTAGAGTCGACATAAGTTGGAAACAACTTGAAAGTACACAACACACGTGCACACACAAATTCCATTGGGTTTTCTTAGGTGGTTTTACCAGTTCCTTCCTCTGAAATATAGTACATATCTGTTTTTTTTTTAAAAAAAAAACTGATAAAGCCCCTACAGTAAAAGGAAATTTGATAATCGTGAAAATGGAAATCCCTATATGTTTGCCCTAGTAGGATAGATATTGTGAAAATCTAATGAAGTACTAACTATTGTATAATGAACATGAAAACAGAAGCACTGACCAATCACAGGACTTTCCATAAAGCATGGTCTGTTGGCTGTACAAGTAATTCACCAAGTTTTAGTTTGTGCAGTAGATTGCTTGTGCAGATATACCTTAAGGGAACAGCAATCTTAAAAAACAAAACAAAACAAATCCAGCCACATATAGGTGTTATATAGTAGTGGTGACATCAGGAAGATATGGGTATTATGTGCTGAGTACCTTTGTGTTTGTTCCAAATAGTTCTGCCCACTTCTGTCAGAATGATTTGTGCATGATTTTATCTCTCCTTCCTTACTTGCAAATCATTGTTGTGTAAATAAGTCAAGCAGGTGGGAATTGTTCCTGCTTTTATTTACAGAAAATTGTGTTTTGCCCAGCAAAGTTGAAGTACTTAGGAGATATCTACTAGTTTACATTATTGTCAGTCTTTTGATGATCTGCATAAATACTGTATTTTCTGGTGTATAAGACTACTTTTTAACCCAGGAAAATCTTCTTCAAAGTCAGGGGTTGTCTTATATGCCAGGTGGAGGAAGATGAGGAAGAAGGGGTGGCGTGGCACAAGGCAGGAGGAAGAGGAAGAGAGGAAGTCCAGGATAGAGGAGGAGGAGAGGGGGGAGAAGGAAAGGGTGGTGTGGTGTGGCGTGAGGCAGCAGGAGGAAGCAGCAGTGGATAAAAGGTGAAGGAGACAGCAGTGGATAAGTGGTGAACCCCTCTCCTGGGATTTTCTTGGCAAGACTGGTCCCCTGAGGCTGAGAGTGTGTGACTTGTCCAAGTTCACCCAGTGGG